GCCAGAAACCAGAACCTTGAGAGAAGAATCAATCAGTTCATGGATATTTTAGGAAAAATGCAAATGATGCTGAGAGGAGGTACAATTCCCACTTGGCTGACACCTGTGCTGAATACAATGGAAAAGCTGAGGGATCTTCGCCTCATTTCGTAAGACAGTGATGACACAAGAGAACCCTTGCAGCATCACCCAGCAATCTGTTTCTCAATCCATTTACCAAGATACAGCAGCACCTCCGTCCCTCAGGTGAGAAACACTCATTAGGATGGGAGTCGAGATGAAAGCGACTTTGGCAGAGGTCAGAAGAATTCCCTTTCTGCTGATGTCTGCATATCCTCAAACAGTTAGAGATGGGTGGAGGGTTTTAATAGGGTAGGATTGATTTTGTTTGCTGCAACAATATTATCACAGATTGTTCCACATCAAAGACTTGTTTCCATTAAAAAAAAGGGGAGGGGGGAGAGAGGGGTCTCTCAATGCAAAATGGAATCATTTCAAAACCAAAAGTATTTTTACACTTATTTCTAACATGGTAATTATTTAACTTACACATTTTAGCCTCAAAAATACCCAAATGTGTGGGGAAAAATCAAACATCAATTCTAAACTCTACATTGAACCTTTCCTACAAAAATATCCTTCTAAATACTCAAACAATTTCAAGGTGTTCAATTCAAGAGGCTGCAGATTTTAATTCTGTATCTCAATATCAACTACTGAAGTTTAAGAGGAGAACATAACCTTTGGATTGTGATGCACTGATCCTACAAAATGCAAACTAATTTGTAACTGATGCTGTTGAACTATTATGTAGGCAATAGACCAAGCAATAGGATGAGTAAAACATATGTACTTGTATCCTTTTCATTAACTTTTTAACAGGGCCCTTGACTTATGCTAAAAACAAATGAGAGTGAGCTCCTGTATAATGCTCCTTTGATGAGAAGAATCTAAAATGATTACACAGTGGAATACACAAAATATATAGAAACCCGGATATATTACTGGAAGCAAAGTTACTGGCTTCAGGAGCTAACTAATTGGTTTCAAACAGCATTTCCTGCATATTGTTGCATGGACAGTAAGCACAAGATGCCCCACTAAAATTACTTTAAGGAGGAAGTAATCCAGCTTTCTGTGTAACATGCAGGAAGTGACCTTCACAGCAACCTGATGACCTGGAAGTCAGCAATGTTTCTGCATCTGTTATAATTTGATTGTTGAGACATTTGGCCCAGCCACTTGCGTTATAATGAGGATTCCCTGTATATTTGGTGTAGTGTTTTGTTTTTCAGACTTTATGCACTTAGCTGTAATATTGAAATTTGACAAGACTGAGGTCACTGAACATCAGAAGTAATAAACGTTAACTGAATATTTTCTGGTGTGTGGTAAATCAGTACTGCCGTGAAGATACTTCACATGACATCATATTTCATTCCATGTTTCTGCCTTGTCAAATTTTATTTGTATTAAACCTCTGGAATAATGCATTCTAAAACAATACATGTTAGCAGCAGGTGAACTGTTTTGAGGATGAATGAACATAACTTGATTAGTGGCCAAGCTCTAGTTTATAGTCCTTAACCACATAAAAAATCTCAAAGCATTTCACAGGTAATTGTCAAGTGTATCACTGTATCTGTAAGTACGTGTGGCAGCGAAGACCTCAGGACAATCAGCTTACTGATATTCATCGTCTCTGACATGAAAGATGACAAATTGTTAAGGTACCGTAAGTGGCCTCAAATCAAAACGTACAAGTATACGCACATTAAAAAAAGGATTAACCAATTTACTTCTGTAAATATTTTCAACAGAATATATTAGTGTTTATTTGAAAAATTCTGGTCAGTGTATTGCAAAAGGTGAAATTGCAACATCTCGTTATTGAACAGGGTAAAGCGAAGAGCAACTAAATTGACAGCTGAAATTAGGCATCTGAGTGACACACACGGGCTACAAAAGTTGGGGATGTTTACACAGACACCAGAGAAAGCTCAGGGAAAACCTTACTGAAGTACTTAAAAACTAAACTGTATTCATAAACTGAACCCTACTTATGTTTAAAACAATTACAATCTCTGTAAATAATTTAAAGTTTGGAGAACAAGTGACACAGTGGGTTTGAATAGAGTATTCATTTCTGGAACCCAATTTATAATGAATAATAAATAATCCTTACATTTGATATAGCGCTTTATCATATCGTTGACACGTCTCAAAGCGCTTCACAGAATATACTGTAAAGTGCAGTGACTGTATTTGTGAGTGAATTGGATTGTTGGAATAAAACTGTCCTCTTTCTTCAGAGTACAGTATAAAATGAAGCCTGGTTTTGCCTGGTTCCCAGTAGGTACAAACACACAGGTTAAAAACAAATGTACAAATTTGTCACAAACTGACTCGCATGGTCAAATGAAACTATTGTTAAGACACTAAAACTGATTTTGAAACCCTTGATAACGACATTAAGAGCAAAGAGGGAAGAAAAATATTTAATTCCTCAACACAAGCACTCACTATATTGATGAACTCGATGCAAGATTATTGAAGCATCAAGCGATTGGTTGTGGTCAGAAGGTCACAATCAAGTTCAGTCTCAGAAGCATAAGGAATGAGAAAGATAGTCAATTTATTCACAGCAACATAATTCTAGTGTAGGTTAATGGCAAGTCTTGGTTCTTCCTAGAATATTGTTGAATTTCTCATAAAATGTATAACATCTAAGTACCAATGACCCTCAAACTCCAGCAGGGCTTTGACATAGTGATCCTATGAGTGATACTGTGTTTGATAATCATCAGCATTCTCAGCAGCCCCCTGAATCGTTTTATTGGGACAGAAACTTGCTTAGTTCCTTTTTCAAGTCCTTTGTCTTTTGTTCTACCACTAATCTTATTTCCTGCTCATCGGAATGCCCAACTCCTTCTTACGCAGCAATTTATATTTATAAATCCTTGCAGTTATATAACACCCTTCACGGGCTAGCGTCTTAGAGCTGCAGACTATCCAGAACTCTGCAACTTGAATCCTCTCGTATTCCAGGCTTCAAGAGCCCTTGATCATTCACTCCACTGGCTCTCCATCCCCTAGACGATTGAATTTAAGATGCTCGTCATCACTTTCAAGGTCCCCCTGACCTCGCTCCTCCCTATTGATACGACCTTCTGTTCCTCTACTGCCTTGGCCACTTCTGCCATTCAGTAAACTGATCAGCTTCACATCCACCATCCATTGTTCAGTGAACTTTCAGTCACTCTGCTCCCACTTTCTGGAACGCCATCCCAGAGTCCTTCTAACTTACTCCCTCTCTCTCCATTTTCAAAACTCATCTTACAACTGATCTCTTACTGTGCTTTCAGACACCTTTCCCCTTTCCTGCTACCCCCCCCCCAAGCTTTGGCTTTCAGTCAGTTGTGTGAAGTGTTTTAAGACTTTCTCCCGACATGAAAGGTGCTATATAAATTTAAATTGCTCTTGCTGCTGTGCTAGTAACTTGTTCCATACATCTATTACCCTTTTACTAAATTTACTGTATTTCCTTATTCTATGCTCCCCCTTTCTCGCTTGCCCACCATCTGCCCACTGTGAAGCATTCCAAGATGTTATCCTATGTGTATCATACACTATATAACGGAACGTTGTTGTCCTTATCCTATTGTTTTATCCTTATTTTGAAAATATTATTTCTAGTTTGGGAAATTTATACATGATAGAAAAATTTTTCCTTATCAAATTTTCAAATCCTTCATAATCTTAAATATCTTTATCAAGTCTTCTCTGTTCAAGAGAAAAATCAAGAGCAGACACTTTTTTCTCATAGCTCAGTCTTTTAATCTTGCAGCTTCCCACTGTTCCAAAAAACAGAATACTGTATCCTTTATGAAAAAAACCTGCATGCAAATGTATTCCAAATGTAGTTTCCCCGAGGCCACATACATTTTGAAAAATAATCTCTCTGGGCTGATATGTTACAACAACAACAACAACAAGATTTCATTTATAGAGCGCCTTTCACGTCAGGAGGACGTCCCAAGGCGCTGGACAGTTGGGTCAGGACCCGAGCAAGGGGGGAAATGGTCAGGGGGAGGGAAGGGAAGGGAGGGAGCGAGGAGGGGGTAGAGAGTTGAGAGGGGAGCTGAAGGCACGGTCAAAGAAAAAGGTCTTGAGACCGGCCTTGAAGGAGGAAAGGGGCAGGTAAGTAGGGGGATAGTAGGTCGGAGAGGTAGGAGGGAGCAAGGCCGTGAATGGCCTTGTAGGTGAGGATGAGGATCTTGAATTCGATCCTCTGGGGGATGGGGAGCCAGTGGAGGCGAGCGAGGGTGGGAGTGATGTGGTCGCGAAGCCTGGTGCGGGACAGTACACGAGCTGCAGAGTTCTGAATGACCTGCAGCTTGTGGAGGGAGGTGGCGGGAAGGCCGGCGAGGAGAGAGTTCCCATAGTCCAGCCTTGAGGTGATAAAGGCGTGGACCAGAGTTTCAGCAGCGTGAGGGGTGAGGTAATGCCAGAGTCTGGTGATGTTTTGGAGGTGATGGAAGGCAATGCCAGTTGTGGCGCGGATATGAGGAAGAAAGGACAGCTCAGGTCGAACAGAACGCCGAGGTTCCTGATGGCTTTGAGAGGTGGAGAGTGCAGCCTTGGATGCTGATGCTGTCAGCAACTGAGGTGCGGAGGCGCTGACGCGATACAACCGTACCAATACATCTCAATATGCTGATCCTGCAAGCACATTTCAATATGTGCTCCATTTTTGTCTATGTAAATGCATGCTCCCTTAATATACACTTGTAAAAAAANCACTAATAAAATGACATACCTTCTTGTGCGTCAAAAATGTTTTAATGATCACTGCAGTGCTTGCGCAATCAGACACCAAAACTTCTTATCCTGTGCACATAAATCCTTTGACCAACAAAAGCATTAGGTGCTCGTACTCTTGGCTTATCTAGTGATACATCCACCCCTTTTTATACATTTGATTAGAAATGTAATCTTACCTGATGACGTAGTTTAGGTGCCTTTGATAGTTTGATGAAGGTTAGATGTGGCTTAAAAGGTTTGTTGTCTCCAGTCAAAATGCCCTCTGCCTGGAATCTTGACTTCAGAGTATCTGTAGGATGAGCAAATTGAAATTTAGCTGATTGTTGGTTAAGGAGACTGTAGATACTGTATCTCTTAATACAGTGTACGGCTTGACATCATGCCCAGTTTTAGCAAAATAAGGAAACAATCAATAGTTACAGGAAGAAATTAAATGGTATCTGTTTCTCTTCTCCATAACGAAGGTCAATTGAGAAGCGTGAAATGCACATTACATTCCACATAACAATAAATGTTTAATTATTAGAATATTCTTCCAAGAAATACGAATCTAATTTTCCATCTGCAGAAATATTCTGACAAGAAAGTTACTGAAATATGTCTCTATTTTATTTCAGACTCAGAAAGGGTTTAAAATTATACTTTTGATCATTTTTAATAAATGCTAGATCAAATAAGCTTCCATCCAGCACGGACTTTGCACGACAGAATATATCTAATAAAATTAATCATTTTCCCAGACATAAGCTTAAAAGTATTTTAGCAAGACTATGCAGTGCTTTCTTTTTTCGTTAGAAACATTTGAGAAAACAGACGTAACAGAATGCAAAACCTCACAGTCAGCACTAAGAACTATAATTATTACTAAAAGGGAGATGCAAATCTAACAGCAAAACTCGAGCAAAACTCCTTACAGTCTGCCAAATTTCATCACTTCATTGACCAAATTACTCAAAGACCCAATTTCATTTTGAATGACCCCAGTGCCAGAAATCTGTTTAGATCCATCTCATCTATGCCAAAACTTGATTTACATTCCCCCAATTTTCTTTGCCTCCAAAGAAAACAAGATTAGTTCTGCAAATCTCTCCATATAAATTAGAGCCTGAAATCATCCTATGGCTCTTCTCTGAACCCTCTCTAATACTAATAAAATAATAATCCTGCATTTGATGTATCATTTTTCACATTGGAAAAGAGTCTCAAAGCATTTCACGGAACTTACTGTATATTTTGTAGGCAGACTATTTATTTTCCCAGATCTACATTTCTTTTGAAGACATGGTGCCTAACACAGCACACAATATTTTATCAATGATTGTATGTAAAGTAAGAATAACTTCCTTTGACTCAAATGCCCTCAAGGTTCATTTTGGTTTGTTAACTGTAGCCACACAGTAACTAGAAACCTTCAGTGACCGATCAATAATCACATTGCTTTCCTTCTCAAGTAATAGGCACCCTCCATTTCTACATAGTTTGTTTCTTATTCTAATGTGGATTATCTAACGTGTCCACATTAAAATTATTGTTTACTCCTTGTCCTATGGGCTTAATTGTTTCAGATTTTCTTGCGTGTGATTTATGCTCAGCAAATTATGACAGCGAGTGATCCAGACATTGTGGAATTCATACTAATTACTGCACCTTCCCAACCTCCCACCAGGCAGTATTCATTTATCATCATCGTCTGCTTCTTGTTTATGTTAGTTTCAATTCTAACTCCAAGTCATCCATCAATTCCAACCGACCTAATAATGAAATGTAGATCTCCACCACCTGAGCTTCAATGATGATTGTTAGATTTGACTGTATTAAAGGCCCAAACTAAAAATAATAGAGATCTTCATCTATTTATCGGCTGCTAACACTAAGGGGATGATTCTCCAGAGGTCTATGAAATAAGAAACTTCTCTACATGAAAGGCGCTATACAAATGTAATTTGTTGTTGTTTTGCATTGAAAATATGATGTTCTCACTTGGCATGGTCCATATATCTACCGTCTTCAGGGTATCAAAAGGTTTTCTCTCTTTAACTATGATCTCTGAAGGACATGAATTTCATCCTGAAATTAATACAATGTTTTTTGTAACAAGTTGTTTTTATTTATCTCTTCGCTCTGGAAGTTACTATACAGTTTTTACACGAGTGGATTATAGTAATTCCTGATGTTACTTGCACCTGCCTGTTCCAGACATATGGTTTACTCCCTCTGATCTATCAGATCAAACTTTTTTTCAGACAAGAACAACCTCAACAGCAGTCACTGGGACTCATGAAGAATGTGTCCATAGTATGCTATTAACTCTTTGTGATAAGATCTCTTTATTTCTCCTTAGTCTCCTAATAATAATCTTTACATTCAATACAGTGCCTATCACCTCAACAAAATGTCTTAGAGCACTTCACAGAATTCACTGTAAGTGTAGGGCTGTGCATTTGTAGGCAAATGTGTCAGTCAATTTGAGGCAGCAATGCCACATAAATTGCCAGGAAACGAATGATTTTATCTGGGGGTTGTTTGCCATGACACTGGGAGAAACTCCCTTCTTTTTGAACAATGCCATGGGATCTTTATCGTCCACTTGAACAGGCAGATAGGTTTAACATCTCATCTGCAGAATGGCACCTCCAGCAATGCAGCACACTTCCCCAGGATTGTACTGGAGAGTCAGACGAGACTACGAGCTCAAACTACTGACATGGGGCTTGAACCTACAACCTTCAGAGGCAAGAGTGCTACCAACTGAGCCAAGCTGAAACTAAGAGCATCTTCATTAAATTCTTGTCAGTCAAATTTATAACGCATATGTATGGCTTAATAATTAACATACATAAGGGAGGTTATAGAGGTGCACAGATGAAGGGAATAAGAAGAATGGGGGCTTGGTGGACCTGTATCAGTGCTGTACCACTCTATATAGCTGTAAGTAACCTGCACTTCTTATTTCAGCACTTATAATATTGTGAAAAAATATCTCATCCAAAGCCTGGAGAATTAGCTTTGTAAAACACATCTTCCCAATCCTACAACTAAAATACTTCACTATTATGTCAAAAAGCAATAATGTGCATTTTCATTATATTGCAAACACATGCTTTGGGACGTCCTCTTGACATGAAAGGCACTATACAAATGTAATTTGTTGTTGAAGAGAGATGCTTTGTTAAGCAATTGTGATTGAAGAAAATATTGTAAGTGGGATCTCCTTGGAGCACAAATGCTTCCAAGGAGACATGTTTGACAACGGAAACTCAGAATTGAGCCCTTGCTGTGTGACCAGTTCCTGAGGTCTATGGGCCTGCAGTCCTCCAGAGCACTGCCAATGACAGCCCAGCCAACCTGGCAACAAGTTCAAAGCAGCTCCTTGAGAGACAAAATTAGAATGTGCTGAAGTTTCACTTCACTGGCTGATTTAATTCTCTGAAGGAGTCAAATTTTATTGTATATACAAGAACAAAAATATTACATTTGTAAAGCGCCTTTCACGTCAAGAGAACGTCTCAAAGTGCTGTTGTTGCTATTTGTGCGACACTGCTGTGCACAAATTGGCTGTACATTTTGCTCCCAAAATACGTACAGCCACATCACTTTACAGTATTTCTGTGAAGCGGTTTGAGACTTCTTGATGATGCAATAAGCCGCTATATCAAATGCAAGGATTATTATTATTATTCACCTTTCACTAACTGCCTTCCTCAACGGTTAGTGAAAGGTAATATTACATTAGTTCCACCAGCTGGTGAATGACACTTGAGGCTATTTTCATAATTGGCATCACTAAAGCCTCCTGGACATAAGTAGAGTTCTCAGCAACATAGAAAAGTGGTTTCCTAAATACAGAGATGTCAAATACACCAAGAATACAGGTTGCAGGTGTACAATTGTGAAGGATGCTTTTAGGACAGACAAATGTTTACACACAGGGTAATCAACAGTTGGAACAAATCAGCAGAAAAGGCTGGCAGACACCAAGACGTTTTTTTATTCTAAATAACAGATTGATGCTCCAAAATAACATGATAAACTTGCTGGGATGAGATCAGTTAGGGCAAAGACACATTTTCCATTGGACCACTCCTATATTTTATAACATGTGTTTCTCCCTCAAACTTATATATCTAGCATAAAGACTTTGAAGAGAAAGCTCTGAACTGGATTTTCGCATCAGCAATAAGACAAAAAAGTTATGTTGTGCAAAATAGTAAGAGTTCCATTCTGCAAATATTTTATGGGGTTTGGCAAGTTTAACATCTGGGTCTGTGATTCAGTCAAGAAATATTCAAATATGTTAAAAGCTACATTGAAGTGGTATGGAATGGGTTAATGTTGGCCCAAGATTAAAATTGTAAAGCCTGCTGGATATCCAAAAAAGAAAGATTTATCCTGTAGGTTTATTATTGTAAGTGGAGTCCTGTAGCTCAGTGGTTAGAGAACTTGCCTCGCAAGCAAGAAACCTGGGTTCTATTCCTGGCAGGGCGAAATGTTGGGCAAGTTTCCTTACTTCACACGTCTCTGTTTACCTAGAGGTAAATAGGAACTTGGTTGTTAGTCGATTGGCGGATACCTTTTCCGGGGATAATAATTCTTCAAAAAAAATAATAATTTGGTCATGCAATCCACAACTATTTGTGGTACGCTGCTTTGCGCAATTGGCTGCCGCGTTTTACCCACAAATATACAGTCAATTCACTTTACAGTATATTCTGTGAAGCGTTTTCAGATGTATAGAAGACGTGAAAAGCACTAAATCAAATGCAAGGATTATTATTATTAGAGTTACAAAAAGATCAGTTTGATGCTAACCAAACATACATGACAATCTACATTTATATTGCACCTTTCATGTCAGGAGGATGTCTTAAGAGCACTTAAGATTGCTGGCTGTACAACTGAGCTGGGGTGGAAGTTGAACTTGGGACAGGTGGAGGGGAGGGGATAGATGACGGTCAAAGACACAAACCTTAAATGACTTTACAGCAGACAGATATGAAAGAAAATCAAAACAAGCCAAGCTTTAAAAGACATGTATAACAATTAACCAAAAATGGTGATACTAACAGAAGGGCAATATGTGTTACTTGTAACAACAAAGCAGGCAAGAATGAACTTAAAGATTTTACAGAATTCTACATGATCTTCAATTTTAGGACAACATTTATGATATGCTCATAATAAATTTAAGAATAAATGAAATTTCAGGCTTGGAGTATGTTTTTCAATCCATATATGTTTTGCATTAACCCCTTGTGTTAAAACTCTTCTGAACACGTCAATTCACAGTCA